AAAACATGAAAAATAATTTATTTCTTTGCAAAATGTGTAGTTCAAATAAATGCGAAAAATGTGATTTACAAGAGCTATAATTTCCTAAGTTCTTTAACGGATATTCTCCATTATGCCCCTGTTTGATCCCCATTAAATTACATTCCATTACATTCTATTTTTCTCTCTCCTATTTTCAATCACACAATCTTTCATAAAATAATATTACACGTAAATCGAAAACTTTTCATTCTTTTTCAACCACTCATTTTTTCAACAAAACACTATTCCTCCCATTTTCATTACAAAAATGGGGGCCAAACGGGGGCTATAAATACAGCTCATATTTGATTCCCATTCTTTTATCATTAAAATGAAAAATATGACCGTTATACATCACATCAAACCATCAAATTTGAATTTCTATCTTTTGTATGGAGCCCACAACAACTATATTTTTTCATTCTCATTCTTTCAAAGATGAGAAACAAACAGGGCATAGCATGTGTTTCATGTGGTGATGTGCTTATCAATTTGCACACGTCAGAAACATTTGGACATTAATTTCCATATTAAATGATGGTAATATGGACCAACGGTAACAATGAGTCAAAGGATAGTTTTAAGAATTAATGGTATAACATTGATTTACTTCAACGACTACTGAGATTAAAATAATAATAATAATAACAGTAAGGGTCAATTTGAAATTTTGCACAAACTTCAGTGACCATTTATAAAATGAAGTCGACGACAAATGGGGCTCGTTGGCTCAGTGCAACGCATCCTTCCGTGGGCGCAAAACAGGCGATGAAAACCCAACCGCCGTTCTTGGAAAACCGGTCCTCGATCAGTATATTCTGTGGGTGCGATCTTTGGGACCTCATGGACCTCCACCTCTTTCTCTCTCTTCTGATCTCCTTAATCAACGCTTCAGCTCTACAGCCATATTCAAATCAAACACGCATGTAAAATATATAGTGCGATTCATAGAAGCTCTCTTTTTATACTTTTGGCTTATCCCACTTTCAAGGGTTTATACTTAAGTTGGTGAGTGCCCATTTTCATAGAAACTTATAATATACTTTCAGCTGAAATTTATTTAATTTTTTGTGGGTTTCAGTTTTCGGTTCGGAATTTTATCATTTGTTATATAATTATGCTCTTGCTCGGTAGCTGATCATTTTCTTTCTTTTTGTTGGTTTTTTTCTTGTGAAATTTGAGTAAATGGACGACAAAACTGGAAAAATGAAAATATAATTGAATGGTCAATCAATTTAAATTGTTAATTTAATTAAATTTTGTTGCATGGTTGATGCTATAATTATAAAACAGCTAAGCAGCTCTCTTTGCTTTTGTAGCATGTTTGGTAACTTGGATTAGACTAGTAAAAATTAGTTTTAGTTAATCAGTAAGATCTAATACTGCACACTAAACGTGCATTGCACTTGGAATATTGTAAACAAAGAAAATTTGGTAATAATGAAATTCGGAAAAAGTTGAACTGTGACTATGAATTTTGTGGACATTAGCTAAACGTTTATCAAGGGGCATGCCACATGTGTTATTGGAGTTTGGTATGCTGTAAAGATGAGGAAATATTTTGATTGAAAGGATCCAAGATTATTGAAGTAATTACTAACTAAGCTAGTATTTTAAAGTATTTTGAGTTTTTTTTCTTGTTCGAATACTTTTGACTTTATAGTGTCCATTATCTTTTTTCTTACTTGCAGCACTATATTTATGGATTGGTGCGTTGTATAAAATTTGGCTTTACAATGGAGAGCGCATCAAGTCAAGCTTTTGACTTGGACGAGAGAAAAATTTTCCTGCCCATTGAGAGCAACAATGATAATGGATTTTTGGATGACGAGCTCATTTGTAGCATGAATTTATGTATGGAGGAAGATGATAAATGCGCTGGAGAAACAAATGTCGACTTGTCATTGACTGAGAAAACTATTGAGCCCTATATTGGGATGGATTTCAATTCAAGAGATGAGGCTCGAGAGTCTTATATTACGTATGGCAGGTACACAGGGTTCACTGTTCGCATCCATCACAATCGCAGATCACGAATTAATAACATGGTTATTGGTCAAGATTTTGTTTGTTCCAGAGAAGGCTACCGAGAAAAGAAATATGTGCACCGGAAAGATAGAGTTCTCCCTATACCGCCTACGACTCGAGAAGGTTGCCCTGCCATGCTGAGGGTAGCTCTCAGGGATGGAGTTAAGTGGGTGGTTACGAAATTTGTAAAAGATCACAATCACACTCTAATGTCACCAAATAAAGTTCCACTGCGTGGTGGGAAAAATCTGATCAGTCAGGTACTTCTGATTTTCTTTATATAACCTACTACATCCTGGCCTACATTGTTGTTATATAAAATTCATGCCTTCTTTTCCTCCACATCGTTATTTCAGCATTAATGTTCTGTTCATTTTTGAAATTTTCCCTTGATATGAGATTTGAACCTATAATGCACAAATGAATCTTTTAAGCAGATTTTCTCGGGTAAGAACAAGACCTATAATACAAAATCTGTTGAGCCCTAAGCATCTACAGATGTCAGAGTGAAACCAATATTGGATGGAGAATATTATTGTATCATGTGAGTTTGACATTTGAGTATCTGTCTATAATCTTGTATATGTGTATTTGACCGTAGAGTTGGACAGCACTAGTACCTAACGTTGCCATATGACTAGAATTCAGTAAGTGCTCTGGTTTTTGAACTTCCTTTGGTAATTCCTATTCTGTGCTGAGGGGTTACCTCTACCTTGCGACTCAAAACCTTGCTTCTGTACTATGAGAAAGAGTAACTTTCGAAGTTACAATTAAACTTAGAGGAACAAGCTCTAGGATTTATTTCTATTAGTGCCACATTGGACATGGATGTGGACTGCCTGTAGAGAGTCCACTTTGGGTTTGCGGTTCGTCATGCTAGGACTTTCTAAGACCAGAACAGAAATATTCTGGAAAGTGTAACTTGAAATTAATTTTCGGCTTTAATGTTTTCGCTTTGAATGAAATTTATGTGTCAAGTTTTAAGTTTACTCTGGGCATATTAACCATTTGACATGCTGCCTTAACAACCATCTGGATACCCTAGTTGGCTGCTTCTTTGTTATGAGAAATGGTCAGAAAAATGCAATTGGAATTTATACGGCCTACTAGTTTCCTTCTTGACAAAAATTGATTGCTTATGTTGTCAATACTTTTTTTGGTTCATTAGCAACTTCTGTTGCCGGGATGTTGAATCTCTAGTTGAAAATATTCTCTTAACTCAAGAGCCGAATTAAAAGCTCTTGCCAATTTTACATTTATAATTTTTTTTTATTTTGTTTCCTTTTAGTTTTTGATGTGATTATTTGGAGAAGGCATTTAGTTATTCTCTCTATTGCTTTCTCTTTATTGAAATCGTTTAGCATATCAGCATTGTGATTTAGGGAAAATTGTACCATTGGTCCTTGGCCTATTATCCTAGGACCAAGTTGGTTCCCTACTTTTCATTACTGTTGCACAATATATTTAACTTTGAAAACCACCAAAATCTTCGTTAAATTGTCCATGGCTTTGTAGAAACCAGAATTTTTGAACACTAGCTAAAGTTAAGAAGCAAAACTGATCTACATAAATTTGGACACGCAATGATCATGTGACAATTTAATAGATTTAAATGATTTCCATCACTAGTGATTAATTGTGCAAATATAATGAAAGATTGCGATCAATGAATTTTCCATTAGAGGAATGTAATGTAGCCTCACTGGGTTTGCACCCCCAATCTAGATAGCACTAGATGATAGGCTTAATAAAATGTGAAATTTAGGGTCACATTAGCGCTACGTAGATTGGAGTTGCAATCCCAGTGGGGTTAAATAACATTTCTCTTTCCCTTATGGCTCCTTTCTAGTTTTATACACCTTTTTAGAGCTCTTAATGTGGGATGATATATTATCTACTCCATTGCAGGATGACAAGGATCAAAAAATTCGAGAGCTGACTCTCGAACTTTACAACGAGAGACAACGCTGTAAACGCCGTTGTACAGCTTACCAGGAACAAATTCAGACACTATTGAAACATATTGAAGAACACACTGATCATTTATCGAGAAGTGTTCAAGACATAGTCCAACGAGTAAAGGAACTCGAAAATGAAGAATTAGAAAATTGGTATTAGGTTCATCACCATTTGTGCAAATTTTATACTACTTTCGTTGTTCCTTTGAGTTTGCCTGAAGTTGTAATTAATTTACAATTAGAGAATTGCTCCATTGCAGTATCGAGGTTAGTACATCGTGTATCTGTATTACAGTAGGCAGGAAAAGATTTGTGAATAGTAAATGACGATGACTCTTATTCCACTGTTTCATCTATCCTTTGGCTAGATCGATTGATTTTGTGAGCGCTTGTGTTTTTATTTTTCGATATGTTTTGTACAGTGTTTAATGTTGTCTCATTTTTCTAATCCGTACATGGTAACGGATTTTTTGGGACGATTTCTTCATTAGGTTGCCTTCAAAAAATGGTAAAAGAAAAAATTGAAAAATTAGACTGTTGTAAAGAAATAAGGATTGAAGATGAAGGTGCGAAAAATGAGGAAGATTAGAGTATGGCTATGTCAGCTGTATTTTTCCCATATTTTTTCCAACCTGTTGAGAAAATCTATAATTAAGATTCTGCAGATTGAAAAGTGAAATTGGAAATAGACTGTGTTACTCTGATCTTCGACTTATCGTTACTCTCGATGGTGAAGATGTTATTGACTGTAAACCAATATTGGGTGACATGTCTATTTCACCGAGCCGTCCAAAATGAGAAGCTAATCGGGATAATAAGAACTGCAACTTCTCCTCTGTTTCATCAAAAGTGAAGCAGCTTTCAAAACCGATCTATCAACTTCATCTAGATCCGGTAACTATACATTCTCCTCATGATTCCTCTTTTCTGGAGTCTGCAGATATTTGACGCAGATGTTAATATTCTTTCACTTCTCCATCATTACAGGAAATTTTTCATATGCATCCAGGTACTTCTAGCAATCTCAACGTCAGATTCTTTCTCAAAACAACAATGCTACATGTACAGTAGATTTGTCAGATGGAGTTACAGAATGCAATGTAGCAAAGAGTTAGGACAAAAGTCAAAGTTAAAACAGTCAATAAGGTGCTGTCATTTTAGCACTTGTAAATTGTCCAATACAATTCATCTATACAAATAGCCTTATTCGTCTAAAAAATATCAACATAGCTGTTAGATAAATTAGTGTTTTATATATATAATCAATAAGTTGCTAACATCTTAGCACCCATAAATTGTCCTGTACAATTCATCTATACAAATAGTCTTATTCGTTTCAAAAATATCCACATAGCTAATAGATAAATTGGTTACGTGCATGAAACAAGAAAAATATGAGATGAAATGAAGTGAAATATGCGATTTCAAATCTATCTACTGTTGAAAATTTTTATGCCCTACACTAGTACTAATATGATTGAATGAATACCTGTCTCTCAAACGATAACTTTTTTTCAAAATTAATATTGTTGACAGTTGTCTTCTCGAACAAAATAGACATGAACTTAAGATGTTCGTATGGAATTTTGTATTTAAAAAGTTGCGACTAATCACATCAATTTGAGAATTTTTCCTATTCACACATATTTGTAATTATCCCTTGAATTCCAAAAAGAGTTTATAAATAACCCTTACTCTACTTTCAAAATAAGTAAGTTTAATTATTTATCAATAAAAAGTATTTATTTATTTAAAAATTACTATTTACAAGTAAACTTTTTAAGTTTAGCTAAAACATGCTCTAACCCAACGACGAAGTATGGAAACATCTGTGACATAGTCAAATGAATGACTGAACAGGCTGAACCTTTCTTCCTAGACAGAGTTGCCCAGCTGGAGGCCCAGAGTTAGCCCCTGTTTGATTACCATTAAATTAAATTACATTACATTTCATTTTTCTCTCTCCCATTTTCAACCATACAATCTTCCATAAAATAATATTACACGCAAATCGAAAACTTTACCTTCTTTTTCAACCACTCATTTTTCTAAAAAATATTATTCCCACCATTACCATTTTCAGGTAATGGGAGTCAAACAGGGGCTTAGTGTCGTTAAGAACGTGAAAGGATTTAGCCTCAATTTATTTAAATAAAAATAAAAATTTTAATAAATTTTTAAAAAAGTTAATGAAATACATGATCAAAAATTTATTTATAAATCTTGCTACATTTACATTTTGGTTTTCACGTAATGTATTGTTGTCAATGCAAGTATCAACCAGGGACAGATTCAGGATTGAATTCAAAATCGGACTATAAAAATTCAAATCTGGTTAATACACGAAAAAAAATAAACTTACACATAAAAAACTGTTTTTAAAGAAAAAAAATGAAAAATTCATTAACAAAAATTTTTTTTTTGCCTCCCCCCCCCCCCCCCCCCCCCCCCCCCCCCCCCCCCCCCACCCTACAATTTTGAGGGACTTCTTTAACTCCAATTCAAGCTACTATCAACCAAAGTGTATAAATTCAGTATACAAATGGCAAAGCTCCTAAACTAAACAGAGGTTTAATTTCACAGCTATAGATTTTCCGGAAAATAATAAATCTAAAAAAACATAGGGAAAGTATGGCAAAAATTATTTTTATTCTCGAAAGAACATGCTATCCAAAGTGAGCCATACAATAACTATTAACTACTTGAATCTTGCAATTCTGGAATGATCGAACACAATTGGTATGAATTTTGTTGTTACAATTTATATTACTTCTCTATGTACTGCAACTCTTCTCATTTATCAAGGTTGAAAAATTGGAATTACAGTCAAATATTTGACTTGAACAATCAAAATAATGAAAAAACAAAATAAAATAATCGAAGATAAAGCAAGGTATGCTTAGCAAATTTCATTAATACAAATTTTGCTCACTGCAAAGATGCCATCAGGATCATTAAATGTCTGTTGTCCAAAACACAATACTTCTTCCAAATACGACACCACAATATATCAAGGTTGTATATCAAACTCAGGTGTTATTAATATTCTTCTCGAACAAAATATATTTGAACTAAAATTTCAATTTCTGAAAATAAAATAAATAGAATTTTGAAGAGGAAAAAGATGGGAGTACAGGGGCTTGCTTCACAGGCCCCTGTCAAGTGAGAGAGGAGGTGAGAGCGAGCCCCACCCTTTTTTTTAAAATGTTTGTGGGGCTCGCCCCCTACAATGAGGAGCTTGACAGCCCCCTATGAACCAAGTTCCTGTACATGGAGCTCGGTTCTTTTGAAGAGGAGAGAATTTATAAGTCAATTTTTCTTCAATTGATTTGGTGTAAGGTTTAATCGAATAAGGTCCTTTTTGTATAGATTTCCAAGCAGTTCATGTGAATGGGTGCACCATTTCGTCCGAATCAATTTGACCCCTAGATCACACCACTTTAAATACTATTGTCCAGATTACTTCCCTCCACGATGGTCCATGAACCTTCCCCTTATACTCGTCGCATAGGAACGAATGCATCCAATCATCAAACCACGAATCCATTTCTAAAAATAAAACTCCTCTACTCCTTGACGGACGCATCCGTGGAAAGTGTGCCTTTAAAGCACCCAATGCAACATTGGGTCATATGTGGATAATGAGAAAAGAGGGCAGGAAAATATTTGAAATTGTTCGTTCATCACTTTTAAAAACTGTGAAATGTTTTTGTGAATTTTGGGATGGACGGCAATTGTATGCAAGTCGTATTTTTAGAGGTGTGAAGAACAAACATAAGAAATTGGAGGGACAAAATAATAAAATAAATATTAAATGGGTTCTTTCTTTAATTTTAACAGTCTCTTACTCTTAGCCCCTGTTTGGCCCCCATTACGGGGAAAATTTAATGTATAGAATAGTGTTTTTTGAAAAATGAGTGGTTGAAAAAGAAAGAAAATTTTTCGATTTACGTGTAATATTATTTTATGAAAAATTGTGTGGTTGAAAATAGGAAAGAGAAAAATAGAATGTAATGTAATGAAAATCAAACAAGGGCTTAATATAGGCCGTGTACAAAATAAGTCGGTTTAACTGCATGGGACCCACCTCATGTGTGAAATGCTTTTACAAGCCAAGTGGAATAGGACCTGTACACTAGGCTTAATTCTCGCATAAAATTTGTTATTAAGCCCCCATTTCATTCACAATATTTGTCCATTAAAATGAAAAAATATTACCGTTATCCATCACATCAAATCATCATATTTGACTTTCTATCTCTTGTGTGAGATCCGTAACAACTATTTTTTATTCTCATTTTTACATTAATGTGTACCAAACGGGGCCAAAATACAACAAAGCCATAAGTAGAGAAAAAATTTAACGGAATTTGCACCGACAATAACGTAGCAAAATGCAAGCGTACTGTTTATTTTTCATTTTTTTTCATATTCCAATGATATCGTGACCTGTAGCATGATTCTATGAAATATCTTTTAGTGCAGGAAGTCTCTATATGTTCATAGATGATGTCTATTTTATTCGAGAATTCAGTTTAGGGGGTGTTTGACCCATATTATTTTGGTAATAATGTATTCTTAAATAGTGTATTGATGAGAAATGTGTGGTTAAAAAATAAGAAAAAGTTTTTGGTTTGCGTATAATATTATTTTATTGAATAATGTGTGGTTAAAATGATGTCAAATCACTATTTAAGAATGCATTTTTTGATAATAATGTAACTCAAACAGGCACGTAATCCAATCATGTGTCCAAAGAGATCGCGAAATGGAGAGCCAATAGACGAGTAAATTGGAACGTTATTAATTTCGCAAAACGAAGAAATTGCCTCTAGACATTAGCCCATTACTGGACGGTTTAGGGACAGAGTGCGTTTGCTCACAATTCAATTCAACCAGAAACACCAAATCATCTACAATTTACCAAAAATTACGAATTCTAACATCACATCTCACAAATTTTAGAATAAAGAAATATATATAGAAGACAGAAAATTAGAAGAAATGTGCCAGTAGGATAAAGGGCCTGAAAATTCAGTAATCAAATTCAGGAGAGTGATACTGGTAAATTATTATCGCAAGTTATGAGTAAGATAATTGGCTGGATCGTTGTTTTTACCGGGATCCAGTCAAGAAGCTGAACTTGCTCGCAATAATTTCTTTTCTTCTGTCGGACGTATGATACAATTCAAAGGAAAAACAAAATCATATACACACCAAAAGAGAATCTAGGTTTTCAAATGAAGAAGACGAGCGACGAATAAATAGAGATGGATGGGAAAGCTGAATGTGAATTAGGGTTTTTCCTGGATTTGGACTTCCTGAAAGCAATGGGCTCGATATTGGCCCGTTAAGTAATAAATGTTTCCTAAACTTCGCTCCTTCTA